GGTGGGTGCCATCGGCCAGGAAGCCCTGCAGATGAGCCGGGGGGGGGCCCTCACCTCCCGGCCCTCAGCGGGGAATCCTGCCCCCCCCCCATGCAAGAGCCAAAGGAACCTCGTTAGGCCCGGCTCTTTTGGAAACCCTCCACCGTTTGCCTTGCAGCTCATGTGTGAATTGGGGAATGATGTCATAAACAGAATTTATGAAGCCCGGAATGAAAAAATGGGAGTGAAGAAGCCGCAGTCCGGGAGCCAGAGGTAAAGCGGCGCTTGCTGTCTTGCAAATGGACACAAGAATCGGGTGCCGAAGTAGGGCTGCCGCAGCCAGTGGCCAGGCAGGAAATGACTCTCGCCTTTTGGTCCTTTGGAGGGGGTTAGTGGGGGGAGAGGAAGATGTGGAATCTTTAAGGGGGGGGGATGCAGCCGTTCTCCCTTCCTGCCTAGAAGCTGCTCCTCCGGCCCACACGGGGCTCCTTTCCTCTGCGCAGGCAGGAGAAGGAAGCCTACATCCGGGCCAAGTACGTGGAAAGGCGGTTTGTGGAAAGAGGCCCCTTCCCCTCCTCCTCCGAGGGTCCCGGCGTGAAAGCCCCGCCTCCTCCCGGCCAGGAAGCGAAAAGGCACAGCGGCCCCGAAAAGCCCCCCGGGGCCCCCGACGCTCTGCCTGCCTCTCCTCAAGGTACCAGGTGCTTGGAGCACATCCGTGCTGGGGGGGGTGGGGTGGGGAGTCGGCCTTCCTGCCCGGGACGCTTGTGGTGGTGGGGGGGAGCGGGTCTCGTGCTAATGGAGAGGGAAAGGTTGGCCTCGCAGTGGAGGAGACGGTCAAGGCTCCCTTTCCCAGACAAAGTCACGCCAGTGGGGTGGCGCTTGGAGACGACCCCCCCCCCCCCCCGGGGGGGGCCGGGGGGGGGGGACGGGACAGAAATCCATGAGTGCGTGTGCGTGTGTGTGTGCTTTCTGCGGGGTACTAACCAGCCTGTCTCCTCCCCACGGCCGCCTCCTCCTCCTCCTCTTCCTCCTCCTCTTTCCCCCGCCGCCTCCGCTCCTTCTGCCTGCCCTGTGCTTTGCTAACTTGCATGTCCCCAGTGGCTGGCGTAAGTAGCGACGAGTCCCGGCGGGAGTCTCTCTTCTGTCCCGATGAGCTAGACTCACTCTTCTCCTACTTTGATACCTCCTCAAAGCTGCGTAGTAGTAAGTACCACTCTCCCAGCCGTTCTTGTGACTTGACTCACCCCACGCGGTGGCCCTCTCTGATCCCCCCCACCCCCTCTCGTCCGGCGGCTGCGTGGCGCTGTGTGCTTCGGTGAGGGAGTCAGAGGCTCTCGCTTCTCCTCCGCTTGTAACGGGCTTGCCTTGCTGTGGGCGGGGAGGGGCTGTTTGGGGCGCTGGCCGCCTCCTTCCCGGTGGTTTTGGGGCTAGAGGGAAGGCGTCTCACGCGTTGTCCGTGGCCTCCTGGCCTGTCAGGGAATAGACCGCTGCTCCAGCCTCCTGGTTTCCTCTCCCCACGGTGGCGCTTTGTTCACACAGTGCGAAGCAACGACAGCGGATTCCAGCACAGCGCAGAGGACAGCAGGGAGCACCTGGCCTCCACCGTATCCGCCAGTACCTTGTACGAGGGGGAGGCAGGTGAGCGCTCCTGGGAGCCAGGCGAGGGACCCCCTCTGGGAGGAGACGCGGGCGGAAACCTCCTGATTCGTGTGTAGCGGAGTGGTTGTCTTTCAAGTTGCTTGAGAAAGCACACACACACACACACGAGAATGGTACGATAAACGTAGGCATATACGGCTGGTTGTTATCAGACGCCTTTCCAGAACGATGAGCCACTGGAGACGGGGGGGTTCTCTGGGTGACGCTCGTGTCTGACCACTTCGGGGTCCGTCCGCGTGGCCATCTCGGTTCTCTGCCCAGTTCTTCCCAGAAGAGAGGTCTTTCTGCCAATGAATTTCTAAATCCATCCCCCCAGTATGTCAGATTAGATTTTCTTGTTTGTTTACTTAAAAAAATTCTATGCCACCTTTTCACCGAATTGATGGTCCCCAAGGTGGTGGACATTGAAATAATTCAAACATTTCAGACATTAAAATTGTGTGTGTGTGTGTTTTAAATCGTTAAAACTATAAACACAAACAGAGAAGAGTTAATAAGAGTTAGTGAGAGAACATAAAAAACTCCAAAATCTTCACCTGATAGTGGAAGGCGACAGGAGAGACACAGACCAAGAGGACTCTGCCTGGGGATGGGGCTTTGGCATCATAGCCGAGAAGGTCCTTCCTTGAGTTGCCACTTGGCGATCGCATATGTATTCTTGGACTCCCAGAAGGCTGTTGACGAGTCCCTCACCAAAAGCTCCTGAACAGACTTAGCCATAACATCCGAAGAGCCCTGCTGGGTCAGACCAGGGAGGGTCCATCCAGTCCAGCACCCTGTCTCACTCAGTGGCCAACCAGTTCCTCTGGCAGGCCAACAACAGGGCAGAGAGGTCGAGGCCCTCATAAGAACATCAGAAGAGCCCTGCTGTATCAGACCAGAGAGGGTCCCTCTAGTCCAGCCTCCTGTCTCAGACAGTGGCCAGCCAGTTCCTCTGGAGGGCCAACAACAGGGCAGAGAGGCCGAGGCCTTCATAAGAACATCAAGAAGAGCCCTGCTGGGTCAGACCAGTGAGGGTCCACATAGTCCAGCATCCTGTCTCACACAGGGGCCAACTGGTTCCGCCGAGGCCTTTCCCTGATGCTACGGACATAAGAGCCCTGGAGGATCAGACCAGTGAGGGTCCATCTAGTCCAGCATCCTGTCTCACTCAGTAGTGAACCTGTTCCTCTGGAGGGCCAGGAGCAGGGCAGAGAGGCCGAGGCCTTCCCCTGATGTGGCCTCCTGGCTCTGGGATTCAGGGGTTTAGTGCCTCTGAGTGTGGAGGTTCTCCTCAGTCACCAAGGCTAGTAGCCACTGGCAGACCTCTCCTCCATGAGCTTCCTTTTAAATACATCTACCCTTGGAACCTTTACTGCATTCACTGGCAATAAATTTCATAATTTGATTACTCATTGAGTAAAGAAATATTCCTTTTGTCTGTCCCAAAGCTGTTCCCATCAACTTCATTGGGTGTCCCCCGAGTGTTACTATTACGGAAGAAGGTGGAAAACCTCTCCATCCACTTTCTCCACCGCACATATTAATTTTATAAACCTTTATCATGTTCCCCCTTATTTGTCTTTTGGCTAAACTGAAAAGCTGCAGACTCTTTAGCCTTTAAGAACATAAGAACATAAGAGATGCCAATGTTGGATCAGGCCAAAGGCCCATCCAGTCCAACACTCTGTATCCCACAGTGGCCAGAAATACCAGTGCCATCAGGAGGTCCACCAGTGGGGCCAGGACATTAGAAGGACATTGGTCTCAGAAAAAGTGCTCCAGTCTCTTCATCACCTTGATGCTTCTTCTTGTTGAGATATGGTGACCAGAACTGTTCACAGTATTCTAAAGAAGGCACCACCAAAGCTGTATATAAGGGTATTATAATATTTTCCGCTTTATTTTAAACTAGGAGCAAAGCCCATTGTAGAAACAATACAACGAGCTCTAGAAGGATGTGACACATCACTGCCCCCCCCCCTGCTTTCTACCCGCTCCCCAAACCCTGGGGTTGTGGGGCGCCGAAACGGCCCGTCACTGGATCCCTGTCCAGTCAGAGGCCGGCTGGCCATGTGCATTTGGCCTCAGCCACCGGCTGTGGCGGCGGCAGGATCAGCTTCGTCCTCATGAGCCTCCACCCGCTGGAGCATCCAGGCCATCCGTTGCCTCCAAGGACACCGAGGCCCGGTCCCTTACTTTCTCCCCCCTCCGCAGACCCCAGGGTCAAGGGGCAACGGAATGCCCCACCACTGGTTCCCTGCCCGACCAGGTGGTGGAGGCCTGCGGGTTGCCTCCACCGCCCCGGCACACACCGGCCCCCATCTGATCGCAGGGCGGTCGGCTACCTGCAGTCGGCCTCAGCTGATGACGACCGCTGCGGTGCTGGCAGGATTTGCCTCGGCCTCGTAAGCCTCCGCCTGCTGGAGTGTCCATCCCGTCTGGCGGCTCCTTGCCGACTGAGGGTGAGATGCTGGCCCTGCCGGCTCTGTGGGCGGGACTGAGGCAACGCAGCAAGGCAATGCAGCCAGTGGATACAGACCCCTGGTGAGTGACACATCAGGGAGCCAATTGATTTGGGAGTGCATGGAATCTTGCCACTCCAAAACAGAATTATATATGAGATCCTTTTCCTAATAATCCTCAGGGTAGAGTTTGCCTTTTTCACTGCTGCTGCACACGGAATCTGCATTTTAACTAAGCCGTCTGCTCCAACCCCAAGAGCTTTCCCTCTCACTCCTGGCCACCCCATCAGCGTCTGTTAGGATTTCTTTACACTTCCACTTAACTGCAGTGAACATCCTTTGCCATGTTGTTCCCCACTCACCCAGTTGAGAGAGATCCTCCAGGGGCTTTTCACAGCCTGCCCTGGTTTTCGCCATCCGAAATAACTGGGGAGGGTAGCTGCATTGGTCTGTGTCCCATGGCTGCAGCTTGACTTCGATTCGGAAGCCACTCCGCTGCCCTGGGTTTCTAGTTGGATTCCCCCCCCCCCGCCCCCCGGTAGGAGGAGTGAAATCAACGTGCAGCAGCAGCAGCAGCACCTCCTTAAGAAAACAGCCAGCTTTCCAGAGTGGTGAAAACTTTTGAGAATCAGAATGCCCGTTGTCAGCTGCCTGAGACTCAAGGGAGCTTTGTCTTTGGAACGCTCTCCTGGACTAGGACCCGGCTCCTCTGAATCACTTGGCCACCTCACTACCCCTGCCCCCCCCCTTTCAGCTCCTTTGGGAATAAATTAAACGGCACCAGTCCCAGTAATGCTCCTTGTGGGGTGCTGCGTATACAAGTTACACACACAGGTGAAAAGATAAGCCGTTTCCGGCTGTCCACGTGGGATGTGGGACTTGATGGATCCTTGGTCTGCCCCCCCCCCCAAGGAAACAGAGCTGCTGGCCGGTGGCCGGGTGGGGGGAGGAGGAGGGCACTTTGGTCCCTCTGGGCTTTCAGGGAAACTGGGTCAGCCGTTCTGGGAAACAGGGTGCCGCGCCAGAGGGGGGATGGCCCTGGGCTGGCTCCAGCGGTGCTCGTCCATCTGGCCCCCTCTCTTCTTCCAGGAGGTGAGAAGCAGGAGGCCGCTGCCCCCGTTGACTCCCGGGGCTCAGTCACAGGGCTGCAGCTCTACCGGGCCTCCTACGAGAAGAAGCTCCCTCGGATGGCGGAGGCCCTGGCCCACGGGGCAGCCGTGAACTGGGTCAACATGGAGGAGAACAGGTCCACGCCTCTGATCCAGGCAGTCCGTGGGGTGAGCGTGGCTGCAGGGGATGGATGGGCCCGTGCTCTGGGCAACCGGGGACACACACACACACACGACGCCTCAGTGTCGTGGCTCTGCTGGCCGAGGGGCGGGGGGCTGGCCCGGAGGCTGCCACGTGGCTGAAACGCACCCCTCTCCCCCCCCCCCCCCGGTGGGCCTTGTGCTTCTGCTCCGCAGGGCTCTCTGGTCAGCTGTGAGTTCCTGCTCCAGAACGGGGCCAACGTGAACCTCAGGGATGCCCAGGGCAGAGGACCCCTGCACCACGCCACGGTCCTGGGCCACACCGGGTAGGTGGCACACACCCCCCCGACTGGCCTTGTGGGGGGGCCCCCTTTGTGGGCACTTTGTGAGAGCGGGCAGCCGGAGTTCTTCCATGTCTTTCCCCCCGTTCTCTTCATTTAAGGGGGAGCCCAGTATCCGCACAAGGGCGGGTTCTGTGGAGAGGCGGCAGGGATCTTTTCCCCCCTGGATGAATAAGCACCCGTTTGCCCAAAGGGAGGAGGGCGCCTGTGACGCTGCCTCCGGTCTGCCCCGCCCCTTTGCCTCGTTGCCAGTGGGAGCGCAGGTGGTGCCCCCAGGCTGCCCGGGAGGGAAGGGCCTTTCCCCCGAAGAAGCCTCTCCTCTCCTCTGCCGCCCAGGGGAGGGGGGAGGTTTAGGCCCTGTGGCCTCCGTGGCCGAGGTCTTGCAGCCGTGTGTTGTTTTTTTCCCCTGCGGCACAGGCAAGTGTGTCTCTTCCTGAAACGAGGCGCCAACCAGCACGCCACCGACGAGGAAGGGAAAGACCCCCTGAGCGTGGCCGTGGAAGCGGCCAACGCGGACATCGTGACGCTGTGAGTGCCGGGCTGGCTCTGGTTTGGTGGGCGGCGGGCGCTCCCCCGTCTCGGAGGCCGGCTGGGTGTTCTGGCCTGGACCTTGTGGGCTCCTCCCGTCCCATGGCTGCTGCAGCTGGACTTTGACTCGGGGGTGCGTCCACTGCCCTGGGTTTCTAGTTGGGTTCCCCGCCCGCCCCCCCCCGCAGAATTTCTTTTTTGGCAGCCTTTTCTTTCCCTTGTCCAATGACCTCTGCCCCTTGAACAGCAGGGCCCTTTCTGGGGAAGTATCAGGACAGGAGGGTCAGGGGAGGCTTCCGCTGAGTGCCAGCCTGTGGGGCCTTCATGCCTGCCTGCCTGTGAGCTTCTCAGAAGCCTCTGGCTGGCCACTCTAGGAAACAGGAAGCTGAGCGAGGGTGAAATGATGTGTGCTTCCCTTGGGTGGAGGCTTGGGATGTGGACTTGCTTTGGGGCGCGTGCAGGGATGTCCTCCTCAGGCGGACTAAGTCAAAGGCCTGTTTCTTTTCATTGAGTTCAGAGGAACAGCCAGAATGTTTCTTCTTCTGTCCAAAGACGCTTCATTCCCCGATTTGATTGGAGGCCTCTGTGAAACCCCCCCCCCCATTTACACATTAGCATATTGGAATTCCGATGGCTGGAACAGACCCCCCCCCCCAGGGTTCAGCCCTCCTTGGATCCCGCCTCTCATGTTTCGGTTCTCTCCAATCTTCCCCCTGCAGGCTGCGTTTGGCAAGAATGAATGAAGAGATGCGGGAATCCGAAGGGCTCTACGGCCAGCCAGGTCAACATGCTGCTGACAGCCACACTGAGATGCAGTACAGGAAATGCATCCAGGAGTTCATCAGTTTGCAGCTAGAGGAGGCGTAGTTCTTTGAGCTCAGAGAAGACGTCTTCTCAGTCCTGGCGGGCCACGGGGGCCGCTTGGGACCGACCGAGGGCATGCCAGGGGCTAGGGGCGCCCGGTGGCCAGCCAGGAAGCAACCTCTGCAGGAGGCCCCATTCAGCACCTCCTCCCCCCCCCTGGGGGGGGAAGGGGCGCGTCCGGAGGGCTCTCCCGTGGTGCAGGGCCTTGAAGCACCATTGTGGGGCGTCAGAGGCTGGTGTGGTGTGTTGGAAGGGTAACATTGCCCCAAGATCTGTGGGTGAACCCCACTGGGGAAGCCGCCGCCTCTCCCTGCTGTGTGGGGGCGCTGTGCCAGGTATGAGAGAGGGGCTGGCAGCAGGACTTGCTCTCCTTCGAGAGCTCAGAAATGCTGGATAAATTATGCAAACAAGCACCTTTGCATAACTTTTCTGCATCTGCACTGAAGGCCCCCCCCCCCACAAATTATACTGGCGCTGCCATGCCCACGTGTGCCCCCTGCTCCGGAGACTTCATCAGGTGTTGCCAGGAGTGCCGGGGAAGGCGCATGTGCTGGGAGAGAGCAGTGCTGGCAGAGGTGTGTGTGTGTGGGGTGCTCTCGGCGGAGCGCTGAAGAGCGGCGTTGGGGCTTCCGGTCCGAGGGGAGAGAACTCGTCTTCCAGGCCAAGCAGAAGGGAGTTGCCACTCCCCCTACCTCAGGCTGCTCTCTGCTCAAGGGGCCCGGAGGAGGGATCCTGCTCAAGGAGGCCGGGCAGGCCCAGTGGGGGGTGGGGTGGGGTTCTGGCCCTGCTGCCAGCCCCGTTGTGTGGCTGGGCAGACGGCTGCTCCTGGGTCCGCGGGTGAGGGACTGGTCTGGAACGTGGCGAGATCGAGGGACTGCCGCTTCACTCACATGTGCCAGGCCAGGGAGGCGGGGAGCGTGCTGCCCTTCCTCAGGACTTTGCGAGGAATCGTCCCCAATGTCGGCTCCGTGTTCGAAAGGCAGCTGCTGGCCTGCCCGCCCACCCACCCACCCACCCACACACCCGCGTGCTTCCCCAGGCGGGGGTTCCAAAGCAACCCAAGCCTCTCTGGGAACTTCATTTTCCTGTTCCTGCGTTGGCTCCCTTGGTTTCTTTTTCTGCTGCGTTCACTATTTCTCTAGGGAGCCTTTTCCGTTTGTGGGAAGGGAAGGCACTGAAACGCGTTTTGGAAGTAAGGGTGTGGACTGTGATCCAGACCAGTACAGGAAGTGCCACGTCCCTTGGGTACTGGATTGCAATGCGGAGTCCGTCAGCTCCCTTCCCTCCGCTGTTGGGAGTCTGCTTGATGCTCTGAGCAGCCCAAAGACATGCTTCTCCCCCCCCCCCTACTTAGCCGTTCACTGGCTGGCTCCGTGGCCTTGTCCTGGTGAGCCCGGCTGCATTCATAGTCCCAGAGAGGAGAGGCTGGCGCTCCGTGTGTGTGTGTGTGTGTGTGTGTGTGTGTGTGTGACAGGGAGAGAATGCAGCGGTGCCCCCAGTCCATGATCTGCTGCTCCTGGGAACTCTCTTCCTCCTCCACGCCAGGAAGAGGCCGCCGCATCTCCCCTCTCCCAGCCTTGAGCAATGGTGGAAGAGACCATCTCCCTTTGGAGGGCTGGCAGCGGCCCCCTGGACATGGGGAGGGGGGGGAGAATGTCCAGGAACAGGCTGTGGTTCACGGGGTCCTTCCTCCTCCACCCCCCATGTTCCTTAGGGCCCCCCAATGCCTCCTCTCACTCCCTCCTGTCCTCCCCCCTCTGCCCATCTGCCACCGCGTTTTGCTAGCTGCTGCTTCATTCTTGCTCTGAGATGCTGCCCTCTGTTTCTAACGCTGCGCTTTCCCCCCCTCTGTGGCTGCACTCGAGGGTCTCTCTTCAGGTAGAGTCTGGCTCTGGGTGGTTTCCCCAACGCGCGCGCATGCCGCTGAGGCCCCCTCTGGACTGCAGGGGGTGGGTGCAATGCCCTGGGCGCCAGCCCTGGCAGCCGCCTCCTCCTCCTGCTGAAAAAAGTAGGGGAGGGGGGGCCACACCCGCCGTGTGTCACCTGCCCTTTGTTTCCGAGTGGCCCCGGGTGGGACCTGCCCCAAGGAAGGAAGGGAGGGAGGGAAGCTCCCCGAAGAAACATGGGCGCGTGGGGAAGGGGGCTTCTGCCTGACAGCTGGGGAGGGGTTTTTTATCAGGGGCATTACACCGCAGCCACCCCCTGAAGGTTTACAGGAAGGTGGGGGGGGGAGGGGGGCTCCTCATCCCTGCCCTGCAGAGGCTGCTGCCCGGGCACAGGCCCATCCCGAGGGGGAGAGGGAGGCGGCCCTCTTGCTGCTGCCGCCGCCTCTGGAGGCTCTAGACGGGGGTGGGGGGGAGGGGCTCACTTGCAGTGTTCCCTCTAAGCTGAGTTAGTGTGAGCTAGCTCACAGCTTTTTTAGCCCTCCGGTTCACACGTCCTTAGCTCAGAGGAAGGATGTGGCTCCAGAGCAGATTAATTGATGCAGTGGCCAAATCACCTGCTCACAGCTTCAATGCCAGTAGCTCAAAAGTAGAATTTTTGCTCACAAGAAGACTCCACAGCTTAGAGGGAGCATTGGTGGGGAGTACAGCATTTCTTCCACCCCCACCCCCCACAACAGAAGTGTTATGACAGGGAAGAGCCCGTGGGTTCTGTGTGCGAGGACACAAGGGTGTGTGGTGGGGGGGGGAGAGGGGGGTTTCACCAGGTGAAAGGCAGCTCTGTTTTGCTAGACCAGGCAGGAACCGGGGTGTGTGTGTGTGTGTGCGCGCGCAGCGGGGACCGGGGGGCCCCTCCCTCTCGGCTGCCTTTCCCAAACCTGTTCCTTCCTTCCTTCCTCCTGCAGGAGACGAGACCTACCAGGACATCTTCCGTGACTTTTCACAAATGGCTTCCAATCACCCCGAGAAGCTGAAGCGTTTCCAGCCGCCAGGCGCACAGAAGCCCTGAGGGGGCCGGAGGGCAAAGAAGAGCAGGCATCGATATTGCCCCACCCCCACCCCCCTGCAGAGCGGCACGTCTCCCCCACCCCTTTCTTTTTTATATATACATAAAAAGGCTTTGGTTATACCTTTGTCTTGCTGGCAGTTCTGTCGTCTGAAAAGCCCCCCTGCTGTTGATGTGGTGGGAGGCAACTCTGGAGAAGGGGGGGGGGGAGGTCCCCTTTGGGTCTGCCACTCTGTGTGGTGAATCCTCCCCCACCTAGGTGGTCTGGGCGTGGGGCAGAGAGAGGCCGGTGCTTCCAGTTTGAGGATTGAGGTTTATAAGATTATGCATGGGAAAGAGCAGGTAGAGAAAGAGGTACTTTTCTCCCTTTCTCACCATAAAAGAACTCCTTGTGGGCACTCCATGAAACTGCAGAGCGGTCGGGTAAGAACGGATAAGAGGAAGTCCTTCTTCACCCAAAGAGTGATTAACACTTGGAATTCACTGCCACAGGAAGTGGTGGCGGCTACAAGCATGGACGGCTTCAAAAGGGAATTAGATAAGCATATGGAGCAGAGGTCCATCAGTGGCTATTAGCCACAAGGTATAGATAGGGACTCTGGGGCAAGTGATGCTCTGTCCTCTTGATGCTTGGGGGGGGGGTCAACAGTGGGAGGGCTTCTAATGTCCTGGCCCCACTGGTGGACCTCCTGATGGCACCTGGTATTTCTGGCCACTGTGTGACACAGAGTGTTGGGCTGGATGGGCCTTTGGCCTGATCCGACATTGGCTTCTCTTATGTTCTTATGTTCAGTTTGAGAGCCAGTTTGGCATCGTGGTCAGGAGTGCGCAGAGGACTCTGATCTGGGAGAACCGGGTTGGATTCCCCACTCCCCCTCCACTCGCACCTGGCTGGATGACCTTGGGCAAGTGTTGGGATTCTTTGATCCAGGGTCGATGGTTGTATTGCAAACACAAGAGCACACACTTAGTAAAAGAAAAATATCTTTACTATAAAAACAAAATAAAACATGGGTAGGGTGCTTTCCCAAACCTTAAAGGTCGAAGAAGACGGGGACGGTAAAGGATGAGATGCTTAGACAGTGTCACAGATGCAACGAACATGAAATTGAGCACACTTCAGAGGACGGCAGAAGACAGGAAGGCCTGGCGGGATCTGGTCCATGGGGCCGCGAAGAGTCGGGCTCGACTGTGCGACTGAACAACAACAAAAGGGTATTTTGGATAAAAGAAATAAAATAAAAGGTTACATACTTGCAGTTGCTCTCAGTAATATATGCTAACAGCTACATCTTTCTATCTGTCTTGGCTTCTAGAAGAGAACTAACTTTGGTTCACACAAAAGGCCATAAACCTTGTGAATACATGAATGCTAGATCAAAGCATTTCCACAAACAAGTTGTTAGTTGACCAATACAAAGGTTACAGGTCACTTCATTAGGGTAAACAACTCCCACAAACTTTCCCGCCCTTGAATACATTATGTAATGTAACATCCTGTTTCCTAACAAACAACATTTAACTCTGTAATGACTGAAGTGTAAGCAACTTGCAATTCCAACAGCAAGCCATAGTTCTGACAAGAGCTGTCCTTGAAAAAGAGCAGTCTCTGTCAGAGCTCTCTTGGCCCCACCTCCCTCCCAGGGTGTCTGTGGTGGGGAGGGGAAGGGAAAGGAGTCTGTAAGCCGCTCTGAGACTCCTTCAGGTAGTAAAGGGCAGGGTATGAATCCAATCTCCTCTTCTTCCTGGGTCTCTGGGTGCCGGCTGCCTTCCTGGCGGGGTCCCTATGCCCCATGCGGCTTCTTGGCGTGAGCGAGTGCCCAGCAGAGCTGGCAGCCTCCTCTTTTCCCAGGGTGTCTGTTGTGGGGAGGGGAAGGGAAAGGAGTTTGTCAGCCCCTCTGAGACACCTCTGGGTAGTGAAGGGCCATGGGGTATAAATCCAATCTCTTCTTCTTTTCCACACTGTGGTCAGGAGGCATGATGCCTGCGTCTTGCAGAAACCCCCAGATGGCACACGCTGCCACCCTGGAGTCATAGTGGGGGGGGGCGGTGGTAGGAAAGGGTCGGTGTGTTTGCCTGCAGTGGCAAAACAGAACAGTCTAGCAGCGCCATGAGGACGCTGGCATTTCTGTCCGTCTGACCTGTTGTGACTCAGAGCCCACTTCTGCCAGGACCTGCGGGAGGGACCTGTGGCTCACAGGTCACATGGGTGTGTGTATGGAGGTCTTGGTCTTTCAGCTGCCCCTGTCCAGCACGGGGGGGGGCACCATTTAACCTCCGTGTCTGCCATGCCCCCCTGCCTTTGCTCTGCCTCCTTCAGGGGAAGTGGGCAGGGGCTTCTTGTCCCCTTATCTCCCCCCCCCATTTTCATTATTCCCAAATAGAGTGATGGGAGCAGAGGCGGCCGTTAGCTCCCTGCTGTTGCCACCCTCACCTGGACAAAGGGAGATTAGGGGAGAGACGCACCCCCACACACACCTTCTCTGCTGGATTGTGCTGCTCCCAGGCTGGCAAAGGGGATCCATGGAGTGTGTGTGTGTGTGTGTGTGTTGTGGTCTACTTATTTATTCAATTTATACCCTGCCCTCCCTGCTGAGGCAATTGAAATCTATGGTAAACACAACCAAAACCCATGAATCCGTTATCCTGATATTCAGATAGAGTGCAAGAGGAGAGAATGTCAAACTTGAAACCGTACTCTCCTAGGTGGCGATAGTGGTGGTGGTCCTGCACCAGTTCCAGGGCTCTCCAGGCCAGGGCGATGCTCCTCCTGGGTGTATGAGGCGGCTCCCGAGTCGAAGGCCTGGCGGGAGAGCTCCGTCGTGCAGGTCCCGCCCGCAGGTCCCTCTCTTCCGGGAGCTCATCCCACCAAGATGGAGCCGCCACCGAGAAGGCCCTGGCCTCTTGGGACCTGCGAGGGCCCACCGGTTCTGGGCCCCTGGATGCCGCCCGTGCTCTCTGGGGAAGCCGTGGGGGAAGGCGGCCCCTCGGGCAGCACGCTGGTCTTTACAAACGACCAGAAACCGAAGCCAAGCGCGGCAGCGGCGCCTCCAGGCTGTCTCTGGCCGTCTTCCTCAGGCCTCTCTGCGGAGCCCGTGTGGACGGGGGTGGGGTGGGGGTTGCAGAGTTCCGCCGGCCGTCCGTTTGGTGTGTGGGAGGCGTCACGAGGGTCCGGGTCCTCCTCCGCGCCCCTGCCCTGCAACTCGACCACGGCGGCCTGTGGCGGAGGGGGGGCTGCTGAGCGGCGTTTCGCCCCAGCAGCGCCTCCGCCGCCTCCAGCTCCCCCCCCCCGCCCCGCCCCGGAGGTCCCTCCCGCTCGGGGCTGCC